AAGTGTGTACTTAACATTTTCAAATAGGCAAATGGGGGTATCTAATAGGTTTATGATACCAGTTTTGAATTTGCAGAAAAGAGAGTTTGAAAATTAACTAAGAGGTATAACCCTATTCCTGAGATTCAGTGCCTGAAATAAATAGTTCAGTAGTAAAATAACAAGGAAAGTTTCACATTTCTTTGATTTTTTTTGCTTATATTTGCTTGTATTATATCAGAATATTTTTCTAATTTAATTAAATGCTATTGAAAATAATTTAGATGGCCAATTAATTTCCTTCTATTTTTAGTAGAGACAAGGTCTCACTCTTGCTAAGGCTGGTTTCAAACTCCTGACCTTGAGTGATCCACCTGCCTCAGCCTCCCAGAGTGCTAGGATTACAGGTGTGAGCCGCTGAGCTCACACTGGCTGTAGGCCAAGTATGGTGGCTCATGCCTATAATCCTGGTACTTTGAGAGGCCAAGGCAGGAGGATTGCTTGAGATCAGGAGTTTGAGACCAGCCTGAGCAAGAGCAAACCCCTGTCTCTACTAAAAATAGAAAAAATTAGCTAGGTATGGTGATTCATTCCTGTAGTCCCAGCTACTTGGGAGGCTGAAGCAGGAGGATCCCTTGAGCCCAGGACTAGAGATACTCCTGCCTCAGCCACCCAGAGTGCTAGGATTACAGGTATGAGCCATTGCACCCAGCCTGTGAACAGTATCTTGAAAAGTATTCTGCCAGTTGTATCATAGTAATTCTTTTTTATGATGTTTATTAATAGTAACAGTTTTGTGTAACTGTGTTCAGAACCTTATAAGTACTTTTTTAAACCCTCTCTAATTTTACTTATTGTAAAATAATACTTACTGGCATTATTTTAAAAATATGTGACCATTGTAGGCCTATTGGATAATATAGCAAGCTGTGCAAAAGAGAAAAATTAACACAATCATACCACTTAGTGATAACATTTTTGTTATTTTTTCTTTCAGTCATCTTTTGTACATTTTGCATGGTTAAATATCCTATATAGTGCAGTTGTGTCCTTCCTTACTATCTGAATCAAATCTTACAGATATTGCTAGCTTCCCTAGCTTTTCCCTGAGAGTTTAACAACCTCATGGGTCCCTGTGTTTTTTCAAGGGCTTTGGGACATTCTCAGATTATGTGTAACCTTAACATATTAATTCTTTGGTTCTTTGCTTCATAGTATTAATACTGTTTTCTGTAGTATTAATATCTATATTCAGTATTGTTTATTGCAAGCAAAATAATGAATTAAATGAATGTTAATTAAAAAGTGATTTTAAATGGTTTGTATTATGTAGTAGTCATTGATGGATGTTTTTAGGTGTTTAAAAGTTATTTAATGATGTTTGGGAAAATTGGACAGGCTGGGACACCTTTTTTTGAAATAATGTAATACAGTCAGTCTACTGGAATCTGAAAATTCAGTATCCAGCACATTTGTGGGAGTGGATTAGATTTAAATAACGAGGGATATCTTATTTTGTATCCTGTTTTGTTTCACTTTGATTTCTACTTATGTCAAACATTTTCTGTGTCATCCAGAAAGTACTTTGTTAGCAGATTCCTTCTTTCAGCTGTGCCATAAAACATTTTAACCAATTCTTATTGTTGACTGCATTAGGCGTTTCTAGTTTTTTTCTCCTATAAGTAATGCTTCAGTGAGTATCTTCCTGAATAAGAGCCTTTTTGGTCATTATGTGATTTAGCTAACTTTTTTGACTTTGCCAATGTGATAGGTCAAAAAAAAGACATTTTAACTTATTTCTTTCTAATTGAGGTTGAGCATGTATAAGATATTTGTGATGTAAATGATGAGTGTGCATCTGATAAACATTCTTAAATGTTCATAATCTCAGCATGTCTTTGAGAAAGCTTTGGAGGTGCTTTGCCTTTGCTGCTGGATAGTTTTCTAAAGTTGGCAGAGTATTTGCTAGGGGTCTCTTATTCATCTAGTGAAGACCCAAGATATAATAATACAATCTGAAATTATATTAATTATTTGAAAATGAAATTGTAAGCTGTCAATCTGCTTTCTACCTACCACACTGTATACACAACATCTAATTATCTGCATTCATATATTTAATTTTAATTTTTTTAATATTTCCTGTTTGTGAATTTTTTTCTATTTTCTTTTTTGCCTTAAATTTCCTAATGTAGTACAAGATAAGGAAGCTACTTCTCAAGAAGTTGTTCTGAAAGTGGGGAAAAATCAACAAATCATTTCTTGCACAGCAGGTGTGATTTCTTTCTTTTTTGCCTGAAAACAGTATGACTTATTAAAGATGATATCTGCATGATGCCAAAGCGGGAGTCACCATCTCCCATAGAAAAAGCAGTTAAAACAATCATTTGATTCAATAGAGATAGAACAATGATTTTAAGTATTTTCATTTTTCTTTTTTCTAGTTTTTTGATTAACCTATAGTTTAAATTCAGGACTTGGTAGCAACCTTTCAGTACTCAGTATGACAGTGAGTTATATTTTACATATGAAATTTGGAATAATGTTTATAAATAAAATATTAGAAAATAAGAATAGAGTCCTAGGACTAAAGGTACATAGTTAAACTGTCTGCTTACCTTACTGTGACAGGCCTGTTTATTTTTATTATTAATAAGAAGCAACAACTTTTGTGATATTTACATGTTATTAATAAAACATTTTAGGTGGTAAAATTTAGCTTTGGGCTCTGGGAGTATACTGTAAGCCATTGATGGTACCCTTTGAAAAGTGTGAATTTATCTCACTAAAGCTGTTAATAAAAATAATAGTAAGAAACTATTGAAAGTTAAAAAAATTAATTAGAGGTTAATTCCCTAAAATCTGACTTGATTGAAATTCTCCTAAATAAAGTAGACAAACATGACTTAACATATCTAAAATGGAAATAGGAGATTATAGCATTTTCTTGACATACAGATACTTTAATGTTGTGAATCATTTATATGAGAAAAGCTATAGTCAGCCTTCATTCAGTGATGAGTTACTCTAAATTGCCCTTAGAATAGAATTTGCTTTAATTTATTTTTACCCATGACACTTCTTAGATTTTCATGAAATACATTTTATGTTATTTGTTGCTAACTTGTTCATACAGAGTTAACGATTTAGAGCTATTTACAGATTTTTTTTTTTTTTTTTGAGACAGAGTCTCACTTGTTGCCCAGGCTAGAGTGAGTGCCGTGGCGTCAGCCTAGCTCACAGCAACCTCAAACTCCTGGGCTCAAGCAATCCTGCTGCCTCGGCCTCCCGAGTAGCTGGGACTACAGGCATGCACCACCATGCCCGGCTAATTTTAGATATATTAGTTGGCCAATTAATTTCTTTCTATTTATAGTAGAGACGGGGTCTTGCT